CTATAAAAATGCATTCAACTCCTCTTTCACCTAACTTTTGACGTTTAGGTTCCGGCTCTTTTACAATAGCCCTACAACCCCAAACTTTGAGATGACTAACATTTGGTTTCCTTTTATACCATATCTCATATGGGGTTACATCTTTCCCTTTCATGAGAACACGATTTAACACGTAACAAGCCGTTAAAACGGCTTCACCCCAAGATTCATCACTTAAACCTGAATATGACAACATAGAATTTACCATTTCTTCTAGTGTCCTATTCTTCCTTTCCGACACACCATTTTTTTGTGGTGTATATGCCGCGGTAGTTTCATGTACTAAATCTAAAGATTGGAAATACCTTGGGTCATAGTATTCACTCCTTTATCAGTTCTTAGCCTTTTAATTTTTTCATTGATTTTAAATTCCATCTACTTCATTTTTGTAGATTTTAAATTTGTCAAGGGCTTCATCTTTAGAGAATAACAAATAAATGTAACAAAACCTTGAATAGTCATCAATAAAAGTTACCAAATATTTTATATTCCCTAAAGAAGGTGTGTTGTGAAAATCATACAAGTCACTATGCACTAAATGAAGCAATGAAGTATTTTTTCTCAACAACTTTAGGTAATGGTTTCCTTGTGATTTTGGTTAACATGTGTAGACACCCATTTGTGTCTCCCCAAAACCAAACCCAGTGATGAGTACCTTTCACATCGAATCATAATCGAATGAAACGAAAGTGTGGAAAGGTCTAGTGTTGCGGATAGTTTTTATTTCTTTTCTCTTCTCTCTGTTTTTGAAAACTTATTTTAAGAAAACAGCCAATCCAGTTTGGTTGATCCATGATATGGTTCCAATAGTAGTGTAGTTGGATGGTGCTTGCAAAGACCTTTCTAACGATATATTATAAGCCCAATTCCGATTAATATTGAGGAAGTTATGGCCAATTTACTAAACTGGGCCCGGTTTGAGCTTTATGTACGGCCCAATGATCTAGGGGAGGGCCTAATATGATTTATCATTCCTAATGCAATTAGGAATGGTTTTAGTCTTCTATAATCTTCTAGAAGATTCTTATTAGCAATGATAAATTGACATTTGTTGACTTTCAGAGTTTTAATCAAAATCAAATAGCATTTTTGAGGAAATTATATTATTTTATCCTCCAGTAAGACAAACTTATCGGATTTTCGAAAACGCGTTGGTATCAGGCTTGGCGCCTAACCCCAGGCCTTGGCGCCTGGAACCAGGCCTGGCGCCTGGCGCTAGCCATTGGCGCCTGGCGCTAGTGGTGGTGCCTGGCGCCAGCTAGCCAAGGTTGGCGCCAGCTCTGTTTTCTGAGCATCAGACTCTGTTTCGTTAATTTATCTTTTTTGGCTGATTTTCTCTATAAATGTCGTATTAAAAACTCCGTTTTCATTCACCAATGATCATCATCTACATCCATCATTCATCAACAATCATTAATTCTTTAGCATTCTCTAAGTCATTCATCTCTCTTAAAACATTCAATTCGTTCTTTTTAAACCTTTTCTTTTTCATACAAAATTCCGCATTCACAAGATCTAGAAACACCTAGCCATATTCGAAGTTTCCTTCGCCCTAGACGTGAAAGGTTTTAATTTCTGAGGGTTTGGTCCCAAATCTCTCTTTCAATTATTTGATTTAATTTTTTGTTTTATTATTTTCCTTGAAGTTACTAACGTGTGTATTTTGTTATTAGAAAGAAGTAAGAGGCATCAAAGTAAGTACTTTAATGGTTTTAATTGATTTATGATGTAGAAATCATGTTTATATTGTTGTTATGATATTCCTAGTATCATGTCTAGGGTAATTTTAATATTAAATATGCTTATTATGATTCCTGCGATGCTTTTTATTCTCTTCCTAATATTTATGATTGTTAGTATCATGTTAGGGCTAAATATTTGATTCTTATTGCTTAGTGACATGCTAGGGTTTGTTATTAATTTTGTTAGTATCATGCCTAGTATCTTGCTATTATTGTGCTTTAATATTAACATGATTATTATTATGGTTAATATGATTGTTATTATAATGATTATTTTATTCATGATATTTATCAATGATTATTTATTATGTTGCTTGATTATTTATTTTTATTGCTTGATCACACCTTTTATGCATGTTTAAAGGGAATCTATACTTGTAATCACGCTTAATAAGATATTTAATAATCTTGTTAGGGTAAATTTTGATTATAATTTTAAGTGATCGCCAATAATATTTTTGTTTGTGCATTAATATTCAACCAACATAGATTAAACAGGTTTAGGGTTAATCCTATTGATTCCATGTTAGTCAGAAAGCGCACATGAATACGATCAGAATAAAGTAGAGGCCTATTATTAGGGCAGGTTCAATCTCTTTTAGGTTGGATTTGTACCTTCATCCCTGAACCCTTATTTGGTTCATGACCTTATGGAGTTGACGATCTCTTGGATCGTTAAGGGGTGTAACCTTAATCCTTGTGAACGGTTTACAAGTTCCTAAAAAACTTGTTGGCGACTCTTTTGCTCTATCTTCTTCCCTTTTGGACGCCACCGTACTTTAGTGTATGATCACAGTGGGGTTTAAGCTAGTGGGATTTAAAGGCTTGAAATTATTCCCTACAACATGCATGTCTTACACTTCTATGTTCTTTGATCAAACATGGGTATCAAATCATGCTTAGACATAAAATATAACTTTTTATAATTAACATGACCAAGTCGCAAATGCCATAGAGAAGTGTTATCATTAATAACATACACAACATCATTCAAAGTATTTGAAATACTGAACTTAAACATACCATTACAAAAATAACCAAGTCCTACAAATTGACCTCCTTTAGACAAAATAAATTTATCTGACTCAAACACCATCTTAAAACCTAATCGATTCAAGATCGCACCGGATACAAGATTCCTCCTAAGTTCGGGAGAATATATAACACATCTCTTAAAATAAGAGACTTTCCCAATCGAAAGACTAGCTCCACTTGTCCTTTTCCAAGCACCTTAGCTGTAGAGTCATTGCCCATATAGAGAATTTCTCCATCATCAACCTCCAAAAAGGTCTTGAACAATGATCTATCCATGCACACGTGCCTCGATGCTCTCGAATCGATATACCACGAACAATCAGCCTGTACACAATTGATTTCAGAAATCATACACATATAATTCATAAATGAATTAAATGAAATTTGTGCACAAGATTTACCTTTTTTGTCTTAGGATTGGCTAGCATTGTCATTCCCATCTTGAGCCTTCTTCTTGCTCATTTTTTTCTTCCAGATTGTGCAATCTTTCTTAAAGTGACCGGGTTTTCCACAAACCCAACAAGCACGTGACTTTGAACCATCACCGCTTAACTTAGGCTTCTTGCCCTTATTTTTGTCTGAGTCATTACCCCTTTTTCTCACATTTTGTTTGGCATCCTCCACTACATTTACCGTAATAGAACTAGGATTTGCATCCTTATTTCCCTCATGCACCCGGATTTCTTCCTCAATCCGGATGTGAGAGGCCAAACTCTCAAGGTTAACATCATCCTTCCTATGCTTTAATCCACTTTTAATGTCTTTCTAAGAAAAAGGCAATTTGTCTATAATAGATGACACTACAAAGGTCTCATCAAGAGCTATGTTATTGATTTGTCTATTTTATATAGTATTTTACCCCCGTCCCTTGATCATAATTGGTAGTGTTTTTGGCTCTTTTGAACCAATTTTATTACTAATTGGTGTTTTCTAGTGTTTTCGTAGATTTGGTTGACTTTTGTAAGGATTTGCACTTTTGGAGCATTTTCCCGAGATATTATAGAGCAATTACGAGCATTGGAGAAGCACGGCCATCTTTGAAGCCCAGGGCCGGTTAGAGTCATCGAACCGGTGATAAAGGGCTCGGTATATGTGATACCGGGGCATTTGGACCAAGTATTCAAGACCCGAAGTGGAAACCCAGATTGGCCCGAAGAATTGGAGCCCAATCGAAGTCCAAATAGTGGCCCAAGAGTGTCGGCCGGCCAAAGAGGCTGGCGCCCGGAGGCGCGCTCGGCCGGGCGAGGGAAGCAAGGCTGGCGCCCGAACTCGCGCCCGGCCGGGCGCGAGAAGTGTATTTGAAGGAAAAAGGCGCGCCCGATCGCGCGCGTGTTATTATTAGGAGTTAAATTTCGACGTTTAAGTTTGTTTTAGTTTAGGATTCTCGCTTAGTATAAATACTTTTCCGTTAAGCGAGTTTAGTACCACTTTTACTCTTTCTTAATTCTTTCTTAGATTTTCTCTCTCTACTTAGTTTTAGATTAGTTTCTCTCTCTCAAATACTTTGTTCTTAACTCTATTCTTAATTCCAGATTTCTTTGGTAACGATTTCTCTTCTCTTAATCTTAGTTATTTATTTTATTCCTTTGATCATGTCTTGTTTTATTACTTTGATTTGTTTAGATTTAATTATGTGTGAGTAGTTTTATTATAGGGTTTATGGGGATCCATAAATAATATGAAGGGGTAATTTATTGTTGTTAATTGTCAATGCTAGATTAATTTCCTATTGATTGATTTAATGCTCTGTTACTAGATGTGCGCAGATCTTTTATGCATGAGTTTGACAATATTGATTCGAGATTCGAAAGATGAGAATTGATGTTTAGGTCTAGTTTCAATAGGTAGGTTAATTTATAAATGGTTAAGTCGAGATTTGAGAGATGAGATTTAATACCGGTAAATTAATTGTGTGATTGTAATACGTAGCAAAAGCCCTTTATTATTTGATTAATGTATGCATTGATGATTGATTATTATGTTTTACCATGGAATATTATTTATTGGTTAACCTATGCCCTAGGCCTTTTATTCATTGTTTCTCCTCCTACTTTTATTCTTTCCCACTTTTACTCTTAGTAGTTTAGTTTCCGTCGATAATTATATTTTGGTTACTTTATAATCTAGATTATATTAATTAATTAGGAATAGAAAGACTCGTTTCTCTGTGGATTCGAACCTACTTCCCTATCTACATTAGTTAGAGGATTTAGGAATTACTTTTGATTAGGTGATACGACTTTAGCCTGTTAGTTATGTTGTCTAAGACTTCCTAATACTCTTTGTATCTCATGAAATTGTTCCATAATTGGCAAATTTGTCAAAAAAAACTTTTAAATGCACTGTTTTGCGAAAAAAAACCTTTTAAAAGCTTTTTTGTAAAAGAAAATCCAAACTTAATTTTTTTTTTTGTTTAAAACAACCTTGTCCTACTAATACACTTAATTAACCTCTAATCTCTTCTAATTAACCTCTAATTCTCATTTTACTACTTAATAATTAAATTAATTTATAAATTAAAAAAGAAAACCCACCCCCACCAGCCCACCACAAGCCATCCAACCACCCCTCTCGCTCCTTTTCCCCCATTTGAGCCGCCGGCTTGAACCCATACCGCCGGCCGGCGGCCCTACACCTCTTTCCCTTTACCCCCTCCTTTCTTCTTCATCAATTTCCTCCAAAAATTCCTAATTTCATCTTTCTCTCTCCTAGCTCAATCATGGTTATTAATGGCTTCTCCATCTCAATTTCCTTAAATTATCTCACAAAACCCTAATTTATCAATTGAAGACTTTAATTTCCCCATGAATTTCTCTCTCCTCCTTCCACGGGAAGAGGAGGGCCCTTGCGGAAGCTTTGCCCTCCCCGACTTCTTTTGCGAGGAGCACTTCAACCTCCAAGGCGGTTTCTTGGGTGTGGGTATTTTCGTGGTGGGATGGCGATGGGAGTAAGGCGGTTTATTTCTTGGTGGTGGTTGACGACGGGAGTGGGCTAGCTGGTAGTAGGTTGTGGCTGGGGTGGCCTGGTTTTCGTGGTTGGCTTGAATGGGGGCTACGATTCTGGTGGCTTAGGCGGCGGTGGGGCTACTGCTAGGGGAGGGGGAAAGGGAGTAGGTGGCTGGTTGGTGGTGGACATGGTGGTTTGTATTTTTTTTTTCTTTATTTAAAAACTAATTTTATTATTAAATAGTTAGAGAGTAATTAGAAGTAATTAGTGGTTAATTAGGTGAATTAGAGGTATTAGGTTGTCTTCAACAAAAATTAGATGAGTTTGGGTTTTCTTTTACAAAAAAGCTTTTAAAAGGTTTTTTTTTTTCCCAAAATAGTGCATTTAAAAGGTTTTTTTTTTTACAAATTTGCCAACTTATAATTATTAAATTTACTAACAAGAAACTTCTTGCTAGAAGCATCTTCAGCCATATATTTAGCCTCTAATTCATCCCATAAAGACTTAGCAGAATCATTAAACTGATAGATATCAAAGAGTTCATTAGACATACCATTGAGTATATGGCCACAACAAATGTAATTGTCATTCTCCCACTTGTTGTGTTTCCTTGTTTCATCCCAAGTTTCCTCCTCCTTCTCCTCGGGCTTCGGAGTAGCAAGAACATAAGCCACCCCAATTGTAGTCAAGAAGAAATGCATCTTCTTCTGCCACCTTCGGAAATCAACACCCTCGAATTTGTCCAACTTTTGAATGTTGGTCATCAATTCCTTAACATTTGCCATCTTTGTTGGATTATACTTTTGGATTGTTGGGGATTTTGTGTTTATAAGGGTCACAAAGAAAAGCAAAAACAAATTAGAATGGAAAAACTTCGAGGCTTCCCAAAAGTATAATTCCGACCCTATACTACAACCGGGTTTACACGGAAATTCACCTAGGAGAAACAACGAAGATCAATTGTAATCACAAGTAGGATGATTACAATAAAATGTAGATAAGCCTTTGGATTTATGATGATGATAAATATATTGCAAAAGGTTTCAAGAAAAATAAATCTCTGATTATTTTTCTCAAGTTATCCAAGATATGTTCATAGAGCATATATATATTGAAGCAAAAATTCAGCCAAGAGCCACGAAAATAACTGACAAAACCAACAGTTTAAAGGAAAAACCGTCGATTCAAATCAACTTCAAGACCCGCGCCTGATTGGGCCGGCCACCGCTCGATTAGGCGGTTATCAGCGTCAAATTCAGAAATGTCTCGTGCCTGATCGGGCGGCTGTGGCCCAATCGGGCAGCTACCCCAAATTCTAGAAATCAGATTTCCGTAAAATTGCTTTCCTTCTCGCGCCGGATCTAGCGCTGGCTGCCCAATCGGGGGGCGGAGAAGATAAGCCACCCTCGCACTCGGTCAGCGAGCACCACCCCTGACCGGGCGGCTGACCAGGCAACAAAACAGAGGCAGCAACCTATGTCTTCTATAAACAGAGTTTTCTCGTTGCCGAGAGCTCTAAGCTTCCTTCAATGTAATATTTGCTTTAATATTCTTTATTAATTATTAATTAATTACAACACCTTTGCCTAAGTAAACTAATTAATTAACATGAATTATGTCTCTAATTCTCAAAATTATTCAACACAAAATTTTAACTTCGTAAAACTAAAATTGCGCAATTCTCATAATCTCAGATACTCCATAGTCATGTACTGGAATCATATTTATGTACCACAAATCTTCTTAGTAGGCCGTAATAAAATAGTGATGATAAGACAAGTTCAAATAATTTATCTGAATAGTGATGATTAAACAAGTTCAAAATTAATTCTAAATTACTTTAATTTATAGATGTGAATAATTACGTCTTTGCATTGCTATGTCATAATATATGTCACATAATAAGTTAATGATCAAAGGTTTTGTTGTGTAAATTTTTTGAATCTTAGGAAAAAACATATGCATGCATAATTTTTGGTATGATCATCCAAATATAATTAAGAACAATGTTATTTAAAATTGATCCAAGAAAGCCAAACTGCATAAAATAATTACTCGTTAAAAATACAATTAAAGCTGAACTCTCCTATCAACAATGTACTGTGTAAAGTGTACACATTATTAAGTTATAAAACAATATATCTCTCCAGAGTCGCACACTAGCTAGTTATTATTGTAAAAAAAACAACAACAAAACAGAAAATAAAAATATATTAAGTGAAATAAATCAATTCAACAAATTGATATGCACATTGACCGAAAACAAAACCATCAACCTTCTTAATTACCTTGGAGCTTCATATGAATTAAAGGGTTTATAGTACTTAGAAGAAAAACCAGAGGCCTTGAATTTTTCAAGGATGTTTTGATCAAAATTTTTAACTATCGTAGGGCTCAAATAATTAGTCCAATCTCCAACTTCCCCTTTTCTAAACAAAGCTTTGTTCTCAAAAAACCCATAATAACTACCATTCTTATTCACATCCATTTCCTTCAAACTTTCAAGGCTGCAAAGTTTGATTATATCATCTATGATACCTTTGTTTTCCTCCTGCTCCGAAAACGGGTAACCCACAAACTCCGCGAGCTTTTTCACATGGGCCTTCGGGTCCTCCTTTAGCCCTTCATATTCCATGAACAACAATTTATTTGGATTTTGCACACTCTCCTTCCAATAACCAAGTACATGGTCATCATAAGGACCAAATGGGAATTTACCCTCACAAAACATACCAAAATGCTCCTCTATCATATTATGGTCTTGCTCATTGTTATTGTGAAGGTCTACCTGAGGGTAAAAGTGCCATGACGAAATAAAAGTGTCCAAAGGATTTCGACATACATAAATTATTCGAGATTTTGAGGATTTTATTGATTTTGGAAGTGAGAAATAAGTTATATGTGTGGCAAAGAGTCGAGGCGGGGATAATTTGGCTAAATTGGGTAGGGTTTCATCACTAGTGTTAACATAAACTGTGTACTCGAAATGTGGAACAAATTTATGAGCATTTTCACTATGAAGTGGGTGTTTGTTAAAATCAGAATAAATATTCCGATTTACAATAGTATAGAGGAGGGATTTCAGCCATGTTGTACCGGTTTTAGGGAGACTAGCTAGAATGATATCAGTGTCAAATGCCTCAAATTGGGTTTGAAATAAGATTGATGGTTTAAGTCTTCTAAAGGGGCACCAATAATTCTGGTATAGAAATATGGGGAAAGCACCCATCCATAATTCCTTTGGGAGTGAAGTTTCAAGTTGATGTAAATGATCTTCTAACTCTTCCATTATGAGGGTTTTTTGTGGTTTCTCAGGCTCCATTGCATAGTTTTATATATGATCATGGTCTTATACATATATGACATGTATATATATATATGTACATGAATGTCATAATGGATGTATATATACATTATACATGCATCATGTACATGTACATATACAGGGCCGTCCTAAACTTTTTGGGGCCCTGTTCTAATTCTAAAAATTGGGCCCTAATAACAAAGATGTCATTTACAAGAAGTAATTTAGACTGGAATTTATACTACAATGAAAAAAAAATTAATCGAAGCAAAAAAACAAATAAACAAAATATTTAAACAAATAGTGCACTGCACCTAGAACTAGAGGTGTTCCGGTTGTCCCGACCCGATTTCCCGATGACCCGGAAAATACTCGGTGGGAATTTTTGGCAAAAAAGTTGTTTTTTCGGGTCGGGTACCCGTCCCGGGAAAATGGCCTTGTATCCGGGTCGGGACATGGGCGGATTTTATTTTTATCGGGTACCCGAATACCCGATAATAAATAAAAAAAAAATTTGCCCCCATTCCCGCAAAGGCCCAACCCATACTGATTCCACATTTCCACTCTACCAGTTCAGTAGTTCACGGATTAGGGCTAAAAAAAATTCGCCTCTTCTTCTCTCTCTCTCTCTCTCTCTCTCTCTTAGATCTGCTTTCCTTCTTCTCCTGTTCACTCGAGTTCAAGGGAGTTTAAGCCTTCAATCTTAGGTAATTTCTATTCTCATGCAAGTTTAATTTCGTTGTAATTTGTGGTAATCCAATTGATAGTGTATTTCGTGCTAATTGTGGAAACAATTTATCGTGGTATTGCGTTTGTACAAAATTTGTAGTGTATTTCGTGCTCAAATTCATGGTATTGCGTTTGTTCATGGAAAATTGACTGTTGAATGTTGATATGTGTCTTGAATTTGCTATGTGCGTGAGGATTTGTCACACCACTCACCAGATTATGTGCGTGAGGATTTGTCTTGAATCTTTATTAAAATGTATGGCATGAGGATTTGTCTCACTGTCTTTATTTGCTTCTTTTATAATCTTTCTATATGCAGTATATTCCTTGTATATTAACATGTATGGACTAGTTGTATAATCTGTAAGTTTTTGATGTATATTAGCATGTATGGACTGATTTGTCTCACAGTATATATCTTGAATTGATGTATATATGTTTGTTTTTTTACCAGAAAATGTCAGATTCTGATGACTTGATGGTGACAAATTCAAATGAAACAGTTGGGAACCAAAGATCTGATGATAGTGATGAGGCAGAAGTTTTGGAGGGGGCTATAAATCTGCAAATCTGGAATTAAGAAAAAAAAAACCAAAAAGAGATCCGGGTACCATGTCCCGACCCGAATAACCCGGTTACCCGGATTATTCGGGTTGGGACATGGGACAACTTATCAAGTACCCGAAACTCCGGGTACCCGGATTTGAACACCCCTACCTAGAACACACAAATCAACAAATTACAAACATTACCAATTGTTCAAATTCCAAATACTCCATATTAAAAACCCCATTGCCGCTAATCGAAGTTACATGTAACCGATTTCTTTTACTTTCCACTTTAAAAATGTAACAATAAACTCAGAGCAAATCACAAAAAACTGAAATTACATTATGTAATATTAGGGGGGAAAAGTAGTAAATTACACCTACCTCATATATGAGTAAGGAAATATGACTGATTTTCCTCGTTGAATGAATTTTGGTCTTTAACCGAGTAAAAATAGAGTAATCCAATTAGAGAAATTTGGATTTATTTGATACATATAATCAAAAAAATTAAATATCTCTTTCAATTAGAAGTAATTCAAGGAGTAAGAAAATACTACTCCATACTCATAATTGACCATTGACTTAGAGCTATTTATAAAAAAAAAAAAAAAAAAAAAAAAAAAAAAAAAAAAAAAAAAAAAAAAAACATTGAATTAGAGAGGAAGGTGGACCGGTGGGCAGTGGGAGGGAGTATTAAATTGGAAATTTCAATATTGTTACGGTAATAGCGTGAGAATTAATTACTAATTAAGGATTTAAAGATGGAAATTAAAGATTACTGTACAAGAAATTTGACACACAATTATTGTATGTTGTCCCTACATAAAATACCACTAGAAATTTGACACATTATCAAAAAAGTGGAGAAAATTAGGAGTCAAATATAAATTGAATTCTAATGGAACATGGCACCATTATTGTAGCCAATAAAAACATGACAAAGTATGAAAATTTTAAGCTACAAGCGGTGGTACCATGCTTGGTACATACAAAAAACGCGGAAAGAACATGTACCTAATTTGTAAAGAACGTACAACTATTTTGTAAAGAACATATACCTGTTTTTGAGAACAACTAAATGTTATTACTTTTTATTTATCTAAAGAACATCTGTAATATTAATAAAGAACATCTTGTTAAAAAAGATATTAATAAAGAATATGATAATATTATGTAATAAACATTATTTACAAATACCACCATAATTTAAAAACGAAAATAAAAAAACATTTCGCAATAAGCAACGAACATAATATTACAAATAAAAGTACACTACGCTGATAATAAAAGAATATGTAAATATGTTCTTTTCACTCTTTTTTGGTAAAAATATGTTCCTTTTACTTTAGGTATGTGTTCATTACAATTTAATAGTATGTTCTTTTCACTATAGATGTATGTTCTTTACATTTGTATAATATGTTATTTCCGCGAGAAACGTCTGTACAATACATGGTACAGGCGCCTGTAGGAACCACACACTGACAAAGTAAGGTTGTATGTGTATCCTTAACCTACTGTACCATATTTATGGGGATTGCAAATTGACTAGAGTTATTAAGGGAGCAGATAAATTTAAAAAATCATGAGTAAATTGACGCTTCATATTGCCGTACAAAGACTTTTTTTTTTAACAAAGCTAGGCTGCAAGTGGAATTTGGCCCTCAAGATTTTGGAGCCCTGTGCTAACAGACCCTTAGTCGGCCCTATATATATATATATATATAATAGATTGATTCATTGATAAAAAGTCATATAATATATTCGTGTTAGTTCTAACGATTTGAAATATTCGTGTTAGTTCTAACGATCTGTTTTCAAATCATATCATGCTAATTACTCGTAGTCCATGTTACTTGTTCATGACTCAAAACATTAAATTTCATTATGAAATTAATTAATTGTGGTTGTTGGCTTCTTACAATAATAAGTGCAAAAAATCCAAAATAATAACTAAATCTTGTTAGGTACCAAAGTAGTAGTCACTAGTCTCACTACTAATAATTTCACCTACCCGTTTCAAAATTAGTTGAAGTGAAAGGTATATTATTCTATGGTGATCATCAACTGAGAGGCTGGCTGAGAGTGGCAATGAAAAATATGTGTCACACAATTATCAAGCAAGTTTGGTTCCCTTGTCAAAAACAATAATTAATTAACTTTGTATTCGTCAATCTTTCTTTTTCTATCTATCGATGTCATCTGATGTTATGATGATATTAATTGACAATTATATTCAATTACGACGAATTTTATACGTAATATTTTACGTATCACGAGTTCCAAACTTTCTAGTGATGTATCTAAAAAACAAGGAATTTTAAGTTTAGAAAAGATGTACGACCATTAATTGGACCTGATCATCCTATCCAGTTGGCAGCACAATTTAGCTTAATCCATGAGTGTTATTTCAGATAATATAATACAAGAGGGGGGTGAATTGAAGTATGTTCCTAGTGCCTACTTTTCGTGAAATATAAAACTGAGTACTTTTAGGAACTTAGACAATGCAAAGCGGATTTTACGAGGAAACCTTCCAGGGCCCAACTGGAAGTAAAACCTCGACCCACCAAGAAATTTTCAACACAAACATTTCACTATAATAGGGCAATATCAAATTACAACCTATTATACACAGACCTTTCTCACAAGTTCCACCAAGGACACTTGCTACTCGATAGGACCCTATCCTACCCAACCTTAAGTCCCACACTTAGATTCACTCGTACTTCCAAAGTACTACTCACAGCTACAACTCGAATTTTAGAGACTTTCAAACTCCTCACACCCCAATACATAAAACACTCAAAACCCTTTTTCCCAATTACAAGATCTCAAAGAATAACTCTAAATACAGATCAATGAATAAAGAGATAAAACTAATATGACGGACACTTAAGATCTGTCTGGAACTTACTGGATGAACTGAAACAAAACCTCACTGGAACTTTGACCTGGAGGTTTGACTTAACTTTGTGGTGAAGGATGAAACCATTAAGCACGACCACTCAGCTTCATCAGCCTCAACTTTGAATGAATACATATGAGCATATTTATAGTACATCCAAATCATTCTTTTCGTAAAAGATAAGTTTTCTCAAAAGATATGTTTAAAAGATATTTACCAAAAATAAGTTTTTCAAAAATATATCTTTTTGTTAAGAATATATTCTGTCAATAATAATAAGATATATTTGGTATAAAATTAGATTTTATTTAAAACATATACTTTCCAAATATATTAACTTATCTTTTTCAAAAGATATACTTATCATAAAATCAGATTTTATTTCTAACTTATATTTTCCGAATATACTAGCTTATCTTTTTTTAAAAGATATACTTTTAATAAAATCATATTTTATTCTAAACTTATTTTTGCTTAAAATACTTTCCAAAAATAAATTATCTTTTTCCAAAAGGGATTTATTAGAAAATAAATATCTTTATTCTGTAAAACCAAATCCCTAAAAGATATGCACGTATTAGGTAAATATTTATATCATTAAACCGACTTTTAACGACGTGCAGACTTAAGTTCCGATTAGGTTCTGGAACTCTGACAGTCTCTGAGTTCCTGACAAGTCAGTAACTCTAATTTCATTGACTGTTTAGAGTTCACCTTGGTTTTATAGACTAGTTCCAAACTTACTTTTATGTCCAACATACTTACATGAATCCTAGAGGGATATACTTCGATTTCTCTATCTTCATGTTGTTTCTCTGAAACTCTTGTTCTGGAATCTTGTAGTATTGATGTATTTTAGATTTCAGGGCAACGTTCCACTTCTGGAACCGCATGCCAAGTTCCTATCAACGCAGACCAAGTCAACTCTTTAACTTGTTGTCTTCAAGTTCCTTTTAAGGAACGTTCCTGTTAGGGAACTGTAGGGAATATTTCAAGCGTTAACCCCTAGCTTGAACCCCACTGTGATCATACACTAAAGTACGGCGGCGTCCAAAGGGAAAGAAGATACAGCAAAAGAGTCGCCAACAAGTTTTTTTAGGAACTTGTAAACCGTTCATGAGGTGAAAGTTACACCCCTTAACGATCCAGGAGATCGTCAACTCCAATAAGTCTGGAACCAAATAGGGTTCGGGGATGAAGGTACAAATCCAACCTAAAAGAGATTGAACCTGCCCTAATAATAGGCCTCTACTTTATTCTGATCGTATTCATGTGCGCTTTCTGACTAACATACAATCAATAGGTTTAACCCTGAACCTGTTTATTTATGTTGGTTGAATTTAATGCACAAATAAAACTATTATTGGCGATCACTTGAATTATAATCATATTAACCCTAACAAGATTATTAATTATCTTATTAAGCGTGATTACAAGTACCAAATTCTCTTTAAACATGCATAAAAGGTGTGATCAAGCAATAACAATAAATATATCAAGCAACATAATAATAATCAAAATCATAATAATAATAATAATTAAAATTATAAAATCATAATCATAAATCATAATTAAAATAATCATATTAACGTTAAAGCATAATACTAGCAAGATCCTAGGCATGATACTAACAAGATTAATAACAAACCCTAGCATGTCACTAAACAATAAAAATCATGGCCTTAACCCTAACATGATACTAACAATCATAAATATTAGGAAGAACATAAAAGGCATCATAACAAT